GAATAAGGGTCCCCATGGAGAAGGTTGGCAGAGTTTTGGTTTTCTTTATCCGAAAAATAAAAATAATATTATCCATAAATAACAGATTCCGCCATAAACTTTTCATAAATAAGAGAGAATTGGGACGTATTGAGACTGCAACTTTACTTTTTTGCATAGAACATCTTACTTTTTATTTAATACAAGTAAGAAGACTAGCCGTGCCCTTTATACTATCTTCGCCTTTAAAATTTCGCTAAAGTGATTAAATTATATACAGACGTTGTCAGTTATAAATGTACGATACTATTCTATTTGGTTTGGCACCTTAATATTTTTTATAGAAGAGGTGTTTAACGAGCATACGGCTTAGATGATAGAAGTGTCAACCATCGTATGCAACTGCAACACTAGGGGCATCACAGATGCGTTGCTTTTAAAAAAAACGTATTTTTCTGAAAGTACCTAAGTTGAATCGGTCCGGAAATAATGCTGGGTGGTAGCCGAATTCGCTAAAAATCGTGCTAAGAAGAAAACTGGTAAATCGTACGGTCGTAGACCGCCAAGCATACAAATGGTGTGAATTACCTTTGTAGCGATGTTCGTGGTGGAATTTGAGCGTCAATCAATTCAATCGATTCTTCTGTACGTTACTCGTGGAGTGGTAAATGCAATGAGATGCAGCATCTCTTCGCAGCGCCTTTAAGTCCAGGTGACCAGAGAGAGTTCGGTAGTCGATAATTGGGGCCGTTTTTTGGTGATTTGGTCAAATGGAAGAAGCCGGCAATGGGGTGCCCCGGCCCAGAAATGAGTAAAGTATTCCATGCGAGGTCGAACTTGCGCCTTGTCCACTTGGAGGAGGATCCGCCCTTGAGTACAACAAGCTTTTTGGCGGTCAAGCGACCACGAAATTAATGACTCGATATGTCGGCACCGAGGATTCCGATGTTGGCTGATGCGGCAAGGGGAATGTATTGTGGAGATACGATCAAAAGTTTTTTTGTCTAGTGGTAAACGCTAAACTTTTGACTTAGCGGTCAGTCACCGCAGAGTCTACTTCACTTGAAGATGCCTCGTGTAGAAGCGAAACACGTGTCGTATTATCGAAGGTGGGGTGATATTCCATGAATGGTGGTTTTAGGAGTGGTGATGTTGGGAGTGATGGTGCTGAAATTGGTGATAGTGACGGGGACACGCAATTGAGGGCGGGTGAGAGGTGCTCTTTAAAATAGAATATAGATATATAGAAAATTTAAAATAGACAGGACACACATTTAATTTTATTTCATTACTCGGAATCAATAAAGTTAAGTTTTAACGACTTCACCGCAAACCTGTATATTCTGAGGGTAAAACTGAGATTTTGGTTCTTAATCCGAAAGTTTGTTTAACAAAGACTGACTGTTTGACCTGACTTCATACACTTTGTTCCGCCACTCGGTGACGTGTTTCCAAGAAATATTAAAACGGCCGGTATAAAAAGCAACACAAAGCAATGAATGAAAATATTCAAAAATATTTATTTCTTTTTTTATAAAAAATACCAGTAATGCTATTAAAATTGCTAATATTGCTTTTTCATCACTCCTGGCAAGTTTAAAATGCTTGTGTTAGGAGTGGTTTACGGCAGTAGCCGATACCCACCGACCCCACGGAATGGCGGATTCGAACCCGCGACCTTTGGAGTTCGCGATCCACACTGCGATTAGGCTACTGTCGCTTAAACTGTCTCTGTCTGCAACTACGTAGAATATGTATACTTATGTAGCGATGAAAAAAATGATTAAGTGTAAAGATAGGTACAAGTGTACGAGTACGGTTAAGTTATAAAGGTAGGATTTACCTACAATAACTTTTTTAAATTAAACTAAAATGGCTTTATAGTTTTTTTTATAATGAATTTAGAAGTTGTAAAATTTCATACATTAAATAAAATATTTAACTTTGGAATTTTGTAAGGAATTTTCTTGAAACCAGCTGTATCAAACAAAGATGTATTTAGATTTAAAAGACTAAAAAATACAACAAAATTTTAATTGTGGTAGCTTAGTAGGTAGAACCTAGCTAATGTCCTCCCAAATCCCTGGAAAAATTGTGTCGGTTCATGCCCTAAACACCCTGTATAAATTTTTTGAAGTATTCTACGGGTGACAACATTAACCGTAACGTATTGTCTAAACTAAAAATGTAGGCACAGAGACAGTATGCGTCATACAATATCAAGGACTGAATCATCCATTGTCTGTAACTATATACAATGTTGCTACTTTTTTTAATGTTAAACATCGATCAATTCAAACTAAAAACGTATTAAGCTTTGCGAACTTTTGAACGTGTGAAATGAACTTTCATACCAAGAAATATGAACCAAATTTGCTTGACACATTCGTATCGCTTAACAAATACGCTAATCTACAACAGCCATGGTATTATAACGGTAGGGGTTCATTTCAGTTCATTAAACAATGCACATAAAGTAAAGTAAAAAGTAAAGTTGCAGCCTATATACGTCCCACTGCTGGGCACTGGCCTCCCCTCCTCCTCCTCCTCCCCTCATTTCTGAGAGGGTTTTAGGGCAAGAAAGTGTCCGCCGCGCTGCCCCAATGCGTGTTGGCGAACTTCACGTCTTTGAAATATTTTTTTTCTTATTCCTCAGACATGCAGGTTTCCTCACGATGTTTTCCTTCACCGCCGAGCACGTGTTAAATCAGCACTTAAAATTGCAATTAACAATTTCATTGGTGCCGGCGGGGATCGAACCCGGGTTACTCGCGTTCTGTTATATTTACAGCGAGCGTTAACCATCTGAGCTACCACGGCTCCCCTCTCCACAATGCACATACACATATACATATGTTTAACTATCTTTGTGTCCACGAATAAACATTACATTGAATTTTTTTTATAGTAAGTCGTCTTCACATTTAACCTCGATTAAGAATCAAAATGCAGATGCGTTGTCACCCCTGAGGACTAAGATGAAATGCCTCGCTTCCAATAAAAGGTATGCCTTGATTTCAGTAAAACGGGTCTCCGGTTCTCCCCACTCAACATACGAAACACAGAAGCAAAGCTATTTAAAAGTTAAATATACGCGATAAATTCCGTAAAAACTAGTATTATTTCAATGAGCAGCAAAGCTGCTATTTTACGCTGGTATTCTGTTAGAGCGTGGTCCTTCCCGGTCGAGCCCACCAATTCGTGCTTCAACTATAATATAGCTGTAGCGTGGCTCTACCACGTAAAATCTACATTTATCCCCGATTAAGAATCAAATGGTATTCTTTGAGAGCGTGGTCTTTCCAGGTCGAGTCGATTCTTTCGTGCGGCAACTATAATATAACTGCAACATGGCTCTAGCTTAGACCTGCGACGGGGAAGCATCGTCAAAGGGGCGAGATAACTGTTATTGAAATCGCATCCATTTGCAAAGTGCAGCGATAACGGTAAATACTCTTAACTGTAAGAGAAGCCCATATCAAGCAGTGGACTTGCTTACTTCTTCTCATTTCTCATAGCTAGGCACAGGCATCCTCTCGTTTCTGAGAGAGTAACGGAGCAATTATTCTGCAATTATGCAGGATTCCTCACGATGGTTTTTTTTCCGCCGAGCACGTGGTAAATCAGTTCCAAAAATTGTATTCAAATATTTTATTGGTGCCAACGCCGATCGAACTCAGTCTGTATACTAACTGTATCAATTTCTTGGTTTTTTTTTCTTGTTTTTGTGAACGTTAACCCCACACTAGGATTTTCTCCTGTATCGTGGAGGGAGTTTAAAAACATACATTATATAGTTTCGAGCGGGATTCGAACCCGCGGCCCCACCAGCGCAGTCACTCATTGCTAAGCCACAGTGTCACGGTTGCCAAAAAAAATTCTGACTAACTAAATGAATTTTATTTCATTTACTACACTAGACGGAATTATGAGATAGTAAAGTATGTAGGAGCCACCTGCATCCGGTTGGTTGGCTCAGGACGGTGCTGTGTGGATTCCTTTAGGGCTTATAACAGTGAACTTGTGAAGAGCTGTAATGATGATGATGATGATCAATTAATTTATTACTATCAAAGTTTACTGCAGAAAATATGCCTTTTTCATAGATGCTACTATTACTATTATAAATAATGAGTTTACGACTCAAAAGGTTAACTGACTGAATGGTTTAAATAGTAACTAATATAAATCCGATTGCGTAAAAGTTTACTGAAAAGAAAGAAAAACAAATATTACAGCCGCATCCTATTCCACAACTAAAGGCTAATTTACCTACAGAAAGTACATAGTCAAGCAATTCACTAAAATTTATATTATATTTTTTTTACGGAATTAAATTTAAAGTATGTAAGCGTTTGCACGCTTTTCAACGCTGTTTATTTTTGTTGAGATTTTTAGTTTATGAAACAGAAACAGATTTTTTTTAATTCAATATAGATTATAAATAATACTTATTGAAAGTCACTCTTTGTTTAATTTGCCACTGGCTAGGAAAAAAAACCTCTGTCCTCGGAAAAACCAGCAGGAAACCGTGGCGGCTTTTTATTTTTAACAACAGCACGCACAACTGTTTTATTAACTTCAAGTAAAAGATAAAAGTATGTGTCTGCACTAGGTATGTCTTTCTGCCTCGCACGGCCACACTTTGTAATTTACTGTCGCCAGCGCTTTTTACGTACTAACAAGACTTAGGGACCTTCAACAAAAGAGCCTCCTCATTTTTACTGTGACTATGTGGTAGAGCCATGCTACAGCTACATGTTGGTTGCAGTACGAATGGGTCGGCTCGACCGGGGAAAGACCACGCTCTCATAAAATACCAGCGTAAAATAGTAGCTTAATGCTGCTGTGTTTCGTATGGTGAGTGTAGAGAACCGGAGACCCTTTATATATATATATATATATATATATATATATATATATATATATATATATATATATGTATTCTCTTACGCCGTCAATACACGGTAGCCAAGCTGAGCCGGCCATTATTAACTGTTAAAGAAAATGAAGGAAGTTACCTGAAACACGACGACCGCTACATGCTCGTCCATGAAATGGATGGTGTCTGACAGGTCACCGATGTTAGCTATAGGGTAGTACCCGCTTGTAGGGTATCCTGCCGACAAACGACGACTATGAAACAAAGTGTACAGATCTTAAAATTGATTGCCAAGAGATCGGGTCAAGCTATCAATCAGCAGTAGGAGTCAAACGTGTATAAAAATTAATGCTTGTTCGTTCGTATTTTATGCTCTACCCTTTGATTATATACCTGTCTAGATAGTGTTGCGCTACAATCGCAACAAAAACAACGGGCCCGATTTCGAGCGCTTGTGTGCTTATTACGCACACAAGTATTCGTGACTATTGTTTAACAAGCGCGCTGCGTCACTCGGGGGCGAACTGAGTGATGCCAGCTCTTGAATATTTCCTATTAGATTAAATACCCATTTGACATTTAAATTACATACATACATAATACATAAACACTCACGCCTGTCACCCATAGGGGTAGGCAGAGACTACGGACTTCCATTTGGCACGATCCTGACATACCTCTCTCGCCTCCTTTACATCCATATATCTACGCATACATGCTCGTCGGTTAAGGGTACTTCTAACGTGGCCCATTTTCAAAATATCGCCAATTTGGTCGACAAACTTTTTTCTAGGGCGTCCCTTCCCGACTCAGCCGTCCACATCTGCCATATAAATTTGCTTTGTTACTCTTTCCTCATTCATTCTTTCTACATGACCAAACCACCGAAGCATTCCTTTCTTAATCCTGGTCACAACATCATCTTGTATATATTCCACATTTATCTCTTATCACGCAATTTCTCACCCTGTCATTCAGATTCAACCCTAGCATATTCCTTAAAGACCGCATTTCTACAGCATTTATTCTACTTTCGTGCTGCTTCTGCCACACCCCGCTTTCACTACCATACATTAAAGTAGGGACTAACACAGCATTATGAATTACCATACGTGCCTTTTTTGACACATTCTGGTTCTTCATAATAGTGTAGTGCCCCATTCACTCTATTCCCTGCATTTACTCGTCGTTCTATATCCCTATCATATCTACCATCCCTGCTAAATACACATCCCAAATACACAAACTCATCCACTTGCTTACATTTAAATTTTTTCTATATATACTTATTATTTTGATATGCCTAGTTAGAAAATAATAACGATTGACGTGACAATTGTACTTTTAATTAATTTTATTTAATTTGATACAAATTATTTATATATTGACTTGCTTACATACTTATAAAAATAATGATTTGATATGTTAAATAATTTTCACATGTCAGATGTGGTAAACATGTGGACTATGTACAACTATTTGTCATCTTTATTGTACCATGTTTAACGAATAAACAGTGTTTGTTTTTTGGTATTTACATAGTTAGTTTCGGTATTTATGTAGTTATAGTTATATTTTTATAAATATATAAATGAAAATGATAAATATACATACATATAAATAAAATGAAATAAATAAATAAAATACATAAATAAATAAAATCCAACCAGATGGGAGACCTCGTCAGGGGAGACGAAACGGCCGAGGCTTTGATTATATACTTGTTTAGTCAGATGAAAGTTAAACAAAATAGGTATAACAAAGTAATAATTATGTAGATTAGTTTTATTTATTTTGTTTAAAAATATAAAAATATTTGAAGGAACTAAGAAAAATACTAGTTAGTGCATGACATCATGGGTTTCTTTTATTTTGTAGTAATTTTTAAAATAATAATGTTCTCCTGATGTAAAGATGATATAACAACATTTGTATTTTGTCTCCCATAATTTCGCCAAAACTCCCTAGTAATTTTTTTTATAGTGTTACGAGCTTGAGGTTCGTGACAATAAAAATTGCCGATAAAATTACCTAAATTAACACTTTAATTTACTTTACACAATTAAAGTTAAAACACTAATAATTTAAACACACTAATTCCCTTAATTCCACTCCGAAGCTTCGCTTGTTTCGCCCAAATCAACACTGCTTCCATCGCATCTTGCAGCGCCTATATATTTAAATTAGCAAAGAAATATCCAGAATGTTCAAGTAAACACGCGGAAGGTACCGAGCGTTCGAGTTTCGACTAGGCGCTGTCAGTTGAGCGATTTGTGATGTCATTTTCTCAATGCTCCCCTCGCTCTCGTTCCTGACACTAGATGGCGCTAGTTGACTTATTCATGCAACACTGCCCCCTCCTAAGACATGCTCGTCCCGAGCATTATCGGTCCCATAATAACGCGCCAAGCGATCCACATGGACGATCTTAGGAGTCCCTCTTGCGCCTTTCTGTATCCGGTAGGTCACATCGTTGATCCTGGTTACAATCCGGTACGGGCCGTCCCATTTAGCTTGAAGCTTAGGAAGCTTCCCTTTGCTGCGGACTGGATTGTGCAACCACACAAGTGAACCTTCGTCGAACCCTTTGTTGTTCATTTTGCGGTCATACCGGGTTTTCATCTTTTCAGACATTTGCTGGCCCGATTGTCTGACGTGCTCATAAACGTCATTCATTTTTTCCGCAAGTCATTTGCATAATCGGTTATACTGCGTGGAGCATCGGGTGGTATCCCGGTGATCAGGTCTGCAGGCAGCCGTAATTCTCTTCCAAAGTTTGCGAAAGCTGGTGTCACTGCTGTACTTTCGTGAACAGAACTTCGATATGACAACAAAAACGGTTGTATGTGCTTGTCCCAATCTCGTTGCCGATTGTCTACAACTTTTGCTAGGTACCTCTCCAATGTCTGATTAAATCGTTCCACCATTCCATCAGATTGCGGGTGATAAGAAGTCGTTCTTGTTTTATGAGTACCCATAACTCGGCAAATTTCCTGGAATATTTGAGACTCAAAATTCCTTCCTTGATCGCTGTGAATCTCTAAAGGTACTCCAAAACGACAGAAGACTTCATGAACTAGTTTATCTGCAACTGTTGAAGCTTCTTGATTTGGAATGGCGAAGACTTCTGGCCACTTAGTGAAGTAATCCATCACAACCATGAAATACTTGTTACCGCTTTCACTCTCCGGGAACGGCCCCGCCACGTCAATGGCTATTCTCTCCCATGGTGCACCAACATTGTACAACTTCAATGCACCTCTACTACGAGTCTGAGGTCCCTTTACAGCCGCACAACTTGTACATTTGCGACACCAGTCCTCGACATCGTTTCGACAGTGGACCCAGTAAAACCGTTCTCGGATCTTCAGTAGAGTTCGTTTAACTCCCAGATGGCCTCCTGAACAATCATTATGGTACAGCTGTAGAACATCCGGTACTTTAACTTTAGGGACAACCATTTGCAAATGACAGCTGTCTCCCCGAACGTTTTCCCATTTACGACACAGAACTCCATCCTGAAGCAGCAAGCTGTCCCACTGGGCCCAATAGCTTTTTAGTGGTCGAACTCATCGCTGAGACGTCACTCCACTTGGGCTTGGGAGTACTGGCCTTTATCCATTCCAGAATCGGCTAGATGTCCGGATCTTCCTGCTGTGCATGTAGTAAGCTGTCCTTCCACTCGTTGCTGAGGTGGTCTGCCCTGAGCATCCTCACGGATACCACTTCCTTACTCTCTTGCCTAGTACAATGTTTGCAATCTTCAGGACAAGGTCTTCTTGACAATGCATCTGCGTTGCCATGAGATTTCCCGCTGCGATGTTCGATCTCAAAGTCGTATTCCTGCAGTAGTTCAATCCACCTCGCAACTTGTCCTTCTGGGTTTTTAAACTGCAATAGCCATTTTAGTGCAGCATTGTCAGTTCGTAAGTGAAATTTTCGTCCCAGAAGATATTTGCTAAAATGTTGCAACGACTTTACCACAGCTAGCAATTCGCGTCTTGTGACACAGTAGTTCCTTTCCGGTTTTGACAACGACTTGCTGAAGTACGCTATCACGACCTCTTGGTCACCATTACGTTGGGACAACACACCGCCAAGTCCTATATCACTTGCGTCTGTGTCAACTATAAATTCTTTGCTTGCATCAGGGTATCCCAAAATAGGTGTTTTGCACAGACGGTCCTTGAGCTCCTGGAATGCGATGTTACAACTTTCATCCCAGCAGAAATGTCGCTTCTCCTCGGTTAGCTTATGCAGAGGTTTGGCTATATCTGCAAAGTTCTTCACAAAACGTCGGTAATAGGAGCACAAACCCAAAAATGCTCTAACCTGCGTCTTGTCTTTTGGAACCGGCCAATCCTTTACAGCTGCGATTTTCTCTGGATCCGTGCGGATACCTTCTTCCGACACTACATACCCCAAAAAGTTGACTTGCCGTTTGAATAGTGAACATTTCTTCGGACTCAACTTAAGGTTGGCACTCTTAATCTTCATGAGCACGCGTTCCAGGTTTTGAAGGTGTTCCTCAAACGTACGGCCCACGATGATGATGTCATCTAAGTAGACCAGACAGGCATCGCCAATTAGCCCGGTAAGTACAAGTTCCATCAGCCTTTCAAACGTTGCTGGAGCATTGCACAACCCAAACGGCATTACTTTGAATTGCCACAGACCCTTTCCCGTCGAGAACGCAGTTTTCTCCTTGTCCTTAGGGTCAATTTCAACTTGCCAGTAGCCACTTTTTAGATCCAGCGTGCTAAACCATTTTACTCCTGTAAGCATGTCCAGCGTGTCATCAATTCTTGGCAAGGGATAGCTGTCCTTCTTTGTAACGTCGTTCAGACGGCGGTAATCAACACAGAACCGCATGCTGCCATCCTTCTTCTTTACCAGTACCACGGGTGAACACCATGGACTAGATGAAGGTTCAATAACACCATCCCTCACCATTCCCTCAATCATGGTTTCCACTTCCTTTTCACGTGCTACCGGCAATCGTCTTGGCCGCTGACGGATAGGCAACTCTTCACCTGTGTTTATTTTGTGTTGAACTAAACCAGTCTTTCCTATGTCAGCATCGTTTGATGAGAATACATCGGCGTACTCGAGTAACAACTTCTTCGCCTTCACCAATTCGTTCGGGGACAGAACACTGCGACAGTCTTCCAAAAGTGTGGTCACTCTCGTTTCTGAATCCTTGCTGGGGGTCCTACTCGATATATATTGGCACTGACGTAACCAATCCACTTCCTCACAAGTACCAACCAGTGTACCTTTTTCTATAACCTGTTCCCGGTCGCAAAGGTTCATCACACGTACTCCTGAGATGTCAGTGGTCCTGACCAAGGTTAGAGCTACTTTCCATGGAAGGTCATTGTTTACCCTTTCCACAAGTACACAACGGTGAGCTTGCCCAGCGTTTCGTGGAAGACTAACCGGAACAATCGTTTCCGATCTCGGCGGAAGAACAATCTTCTTGATGCTGTACACGTTCCCTGGTAACGCACCTTCCATAAAAAGTTCCTCCTGTCCACATTTCAAAACACCTTGCTTAACGTCGATCTCACAACAATTATTCCTCATAAAGTCTAGGCCTAGGATGCAGTCGTCCATTATATCAGCCACGATGACATTATGCAGGTAGATCACGTTGCCTAGCTTCAACTCCATCTCCTTCTCTCCACGGACGGGTATACGCTGACCGGTGGCTGTTACCAAATTAATGCATTCTCGGTTGTATGCGGAGTCCCCAAGGAACTGGCTTATAAGTTGGGAACTAACAACCGTACGAGAGGCTCCAGTGTCTATGGTCAGTTTACACGGCATTCCGTTGACCTCGCCCTTGATGAATAGACTGTTCCCATCATGGGTTTGTGAGATCGAGATCCTTGGGGCTCTTTTAACATCAGCCAGCACCCGCCCCGCAGTTCTGGCTTTTACTCGTTTCCCTGCTGCTGCAGGGCGGTGCTGTTGGCCGCACTACCCTCCTGAGATCGTACACCTTCCCTTTCTAGGGTTCGCTTAGGGCAGCTGGATCGAAGAAGGCCCTTTTCCCCACAGCCATAGCACCTAGGGCTGTATCCTCTGTTGCGGTCGCGAACTGTAGCTGCTGCAACCTCCCTGATGCGATGGGAACGATGATCCTGCCGCACGGCTTCCACCAAATAAATCTCCAGCCGGTGTGCGCTGCACGAAGCCGCGGAACGCAGAGTGCACAAAGGACGCAAAAGCGCCCCCAGACCGGCCCCAAGGAGAGAGAAAGAAAAAAACTCCATCTCCAAGTTTGAGTTCGTCCAGTGATTTCTTCATGTCAGCCATTACGTTGTCAACCCGATTGTTCACTTGGTCGATTCGGGTTTCAGCTTTCGCGATTTGGGTTTCAGCTTCCGACAGGCGGTTGTCATGCTGAGCAACCCTATCCTTCACCTCCCTTATCTCTTTCCCGAAGGTAGCGTGAAGGTCCTTCATGAGAAGCATCTGCTCTTCCAACCGACGGGCCTGTTCCTCTTGTCGGCGGGCCTGTTCATCCTGTCCGCCCCGCAGCTGCTCTTCCAATCGGCGTGCCTGTTCCGCCTGCTGGCGAGCCTGCTCCTCCTGTCGGCGAGCCTGCTCCTGCAGCATCACCATCAGAGCACCTAAGTCAGGTGCTGCAGATGTAGGAGCTACCGACGGGCCTGCAGCCGGTGGCTGGTCCTCCGACGTCTGCGGCGTTGCACCACCAAATCTTCGTTGGTCCGTCTCCTGCTGGCGTTGACTTCGGGTACGGACACCCTCCGTTTCCTCCTTAGGTAAAATCGGCATGATTTTATCCCACTTCTGACACCAATTGTTACGAGCTTGAGGTTCGTGACAATAAAAATTGCCGATAAAATTACCTAAATTAACACTTTAATTTACTTTACACAATTAAAGTTAAAACACTAATAATTTAAACACACTAATTCCCTTAATTCCACTCCGAAGCTTCGCTTGTTTCGCCCAAATCAACACTGCTTCCATCGCATCTTGCAGCGCCTATATATTTAAATTAGCAAAGAAATATCCAGAATGTTCAAGTAAACACGCGGAAGGTACCGAGCGTTCGAGTTTCGACTAGGCGCTGTCAGTTGAGCGATTTGTGATGTCATTTTCTCAATGCTCCCCTCGCTCTCGTTCCTGACACTAGATGGCGCTAGTTGACTTATTCATGCAACACTAGGATTGGGTGACAGACACATCCATCCACATGATGGTAAGTGGTTGCTGTGGCCCATAGACATCTACATTTTATCTTCGATTAAGAATCACAACGCAGATGCGTTGTCACTCCTGATGACCAAGATGGAATGCCTCGTTTCCAGTAAAAAGGGTCTCCGGTTCTCTCCACTCACCATACGAAACACAGCAGCACTGGGCTGCTATTTTACGCTGGTATTCTGTGAGAGCGTGGTCCTTCCCCGGCCGGCCGACCCATTCGTGCAACAACCAAAATATAGCTGCAACATGGACTTTTTTCTGACAAGCAATTCTCAGTAGTAGGCCTGAGTGAGAAAGTACGGAAACTCTGAAACGGCTCCAACGATGGCGCGAAGGTTATAGGCATAGTACAAAAGTTACAGGCGGTGGCGCAGATATCGTACTGACAAATTTATTTGAAAGTTACATATTATTCAACCTCAGTGAATGTATTATTAATCCTAATTAAACAATATAACTCTTCCAAAGTTGAAACGATGTTTCCACAATTATTTCTTCAGCGGCAGCAATGTATTACATAAATAAAAACTTGTAACTCACTTGAGAAATATTTGAGTCGTTCGAGTCCCAGTTTGTCACCGACACGGTCCATCAGCAACCCGGTGAGGTCGGTGTCCGGCGTGTAGTATATCAGACTAGGGCCGCGAACACTCTCCAAGGGGATCGGCTCCTGGAGAAACGTTAATTATGTGTGAAACAAAATCTTTTTCATATTAGAAATGAACGAGCTAGCAGAACACCTACTTAATATTACGTAATAAGTACCTGGATGACCGAGCTTAGCTTGATATTATTATTATTATTATTACTTAACAGGCTAGCAGTTGAAACAACTGATGTAAGCCCGTATCCTATTTTCAATCTGTTCTTGAATTGGTTAATAGTTTGTGCAGATATTACTTCTGATGGCAGTTTATTCCATGCTTCAACCACTCTTTGGCTAAAAAAGTGCTTGTGTGGGTTGTTATGTGACACGGTTTTAGTTAATTTGAAGTGATGTCCCCTAAGATGTGTGTTTGTTGAGTACTGGAACAAATCTCTGTCAAAACTTTCCAGATCGTAGTGTCCATGTATAATTTTATATGCTTCGATTAAGTCTCCCCGTTCTCTACTTTTTTAGTTATAACTGTTATATGATGATTCCATTTTAAATCGCTACTTATATGTACACCTAAGTCTTTTTGTACTTTAGCTTCTTCCAAAGGTATATCATCGATTTTATATATTAAACGAGGGTTTCTGTTTCCTATATGGAGGACTGTGTATTTATTTATATTTAATTTAATAAGCCACCTTTTTGACCATTCTGATATTTTAATTAGATCTGCTTGAAGGCAATCAAAGTCCACTAGTGGGTTTGCGAATATCTTCGTGTCATCAGCGAACATACTTACATTACAACTCAAGCTTTTTGGTAGATCAAAGGTAAACAGTATAAACAATACCGGTCCCAGTACAAAACCTTGTGGCACACCGCTTTGTATTTCTTTTTCATCTGATAATGTGTCGCTAATCCTTACTCTGAAGGTTCTTTGTCGTAGAAAACTCTCAATCCAAGTTAACAGTTTCCCTCGAACACCAACAAATTCCAATTTATGTAAAAGCCTGCCTATTGGTACTTTATCAAAAGCTTTTTCGTAATCCAGATATATAACATCTATTGGTTCTCGATCATTTTGACTGTTGACCCAGGATGATAAGCAAGACTTCAAGCTAAAAATCGTTGATCTATGAGGACAGAAACCATGTTGCTGTTTACCAATAGTTTGTTGTTTGTTAAGGAACTGCCTCATGTGCTTAACTATTAGTCTATTAGTATTATATTATATATATATTAGTATTAACTATTAGTAGTAGTAAGTCATGGAAAAGATACTAGTTACTATTATCTTTTCCATGACTTTGCACACCACACTAGTTAAGCTTATCGGTCTATAATTTGCAGGATCTAATTTGTTTCCCTTTTTGTAAACAGGAGTCACTAAAGCCGTTTTCCATAAATAAGGCACAAACTCCTTTGTCGTATTATTTTTGCATTACTGATGCTAGGTAACTATCAATTCCGCAGTTCTTTAAAACATGTACGGGTATTTCGTCGGGGCCAGGTGAAGAGTCTATATTCATTTCTTTGATAGCAGCTTGTACTTTGGATTCTGTGAACATGATGTCCTCTATAACTTCAGTTGCTCTTAGGTTTGGGTCAAGCGCAGGAAATTCTTCTAGTGGTTCTAAATACATTAGAAAAATGTTCCGCAAATACTTCCGCTATGTCTTTAGAACGTGTAACAGATTGCCCATTACTGTTACGATCGTCTCTGTATAAGTCGTAACCCGGTATCTTTATCAGTGAGTCAGGTATATTTGGTTTTAGCCATGTTTCTGAGAGGACTATAATTGATGGTTTTAGTTGATCAACTCTTGCAATGAATAAATCCAGTTCAGATGTTATCGATTGTATGTTTGTGTATAAGATTGTTATTGTTAAGAGTGCGGAAGGTATCGAAGATCGCGTTTTTTTTGTTAAAAAGATTTACTAGTGAGGGTTGGTGAATTTGGACTAGTTTTTTATCTCCCGTTTACAGATAATTTTAGGCTGCCCTTGTATATACTTGATATTCAAGCCTTGTTCTCCATTATTAGTACGTTTTTCTAATTCATCACGGAGGTATTTTAAGTACTCGCGTTGCATGGCATTTTGGTCTGATTTAATAATTGACGGTTTTTCCAGTTTAGTTTTGTTACGAAGTATCTCAATAGCATCATTCTTAGACTTCATTACCATTTTAATGGGACGAGGAGGAGCCCCAGCTTGAAACTTACCAAGACGAAATAGTTTCACATTATCACAGCTAACTTTGTTGCTCACACACGTTATTATTTTCCTGCACTCCTCTTTATCATGCTCCTGCCTTTGTAAAGGTTTATCCGAGGTTGATTCTGGTACGTCGTAAATTATTATATTGTTAGCTCTCTTAGTGCGCTCAGCCAATTCTTGTATTACTCCTTCAGTTACAAGCATGTTTTGACGTAATCGCAAGTGGTGCTCTTCTTTAGTAAGTTCCTCCAGTTGTTTCATTATATTTGGTATTTGTGCCATTAGTGACTTACAATCGATACATAAGAAATAAACCACTCGAGCTATTGTCTTTAACTCGAACACTCTTACTTCAGTTGGTGACATTCCATGACAATCACCACATAAAATGCTCTTGCAGGAGTCACAACTTACTGATAGCTTCTTGTCGTTTGTGGTTTTGCTACATTTAGAACATTTAAAGCTTTTTGGACTCATTTTATTTTTTTTATATTTACTGATTTAGTAGAAAATTTCTTGTAATGGCAACACTATTATCTATAATTCGCTTTCATTGACAGAACCGGAAATCAATGATGTAAAAGAAATATAAAATTTTGAAGGTAGATTGTAAAAGTTCGTAATTCACGCGAATAGTTTTTTTCAAAGTTTTGCACTTTAAGTTTATAATTACAGTGAGAAAACACTAGCACTAAACATCTTTAGCCTGCCTCATATACTGATTGTACTTTTATAACATGGAACACACTATTTGAATTTATTGGCACCAAATCATCAACAGCACTTGTACACACAACCACTTCAATTTGACAATGAATATTACTTATGGAAATCGTGGTTTTTGTGAATTATATTTAGATACAAGTTACATACTGATGAAATATGAATGAAATTTTTCGATCTTCTCGGCCATTTTTTCCGTGTTTTAAAAATACACTAAAAAAGGGCTCAAAATAATATATTTTCTTAGAAAAAAAAGGAACTTTAAAGAAAAGGAAAAACGAGTCAGATCGGAGACATATAGACTTGAACCTGCGTTATACGATTTCAGGACCGCCCAATATCCCACTAGAGTTATAACCTTTTAGGGACTGGCAAAATTTACTTTCGTATTCTAATGACATTGTAGCAGTTTTCAGTTGCCTAAAACATGGATAAAACGACATTTTCTAAAAATTAGTCCTAGCTAGATCGATTTATTGCCCGCGAAACCTCCTGCATACTAAATTTCATGAAAATCGTTGGAGCCGTTTCAGAGTTTCCATACTTTCTCACTCAGGGCTACTACTGAGAATTGCTTGTCAGAAAAAAGTCCATGTTGCAGCTATATTATGGTTGTTGCACGAATGGGTCGGCTCGATCGGGGAAAGACCAGACTCTCACAGAATACCAGCTTAAAATAGCAGCCCAATGCTGTTGTGTTTCGTATGGTGAGTGTAGAGAACCGGAGATCGGAACCTTTTTACTGGACACGAGCCATTCTATCTCATTCCTCAGGGGTGACAAACACATCTGCATTGTGATTCTTAATCGAATATAGATGTAGTTGTCTATGGGTCACAGTATCTACTTACTATCAGGTGGGCTGTATGCTCGCTTGTCACCCATAATCTATTTTAAAAAAAACTTGCCCGGAATTTGAATCTACGACTTCAAGATCACAAGTTGCGTTAATGACCACTAGACTAAAGAGGTAGTCAGAACCTGGGTTCGATTTCCGTCGGTAATTTACAAATTCATTGCAAATTTAAGTGCTGATTTACCACGTGCTTGGCGGTGAAGGAAAAAAGGTCTTAAAACCGAAAAGCCGGACAGACCACCAAGCTTAGCCGGATATTTTGGTAAAAAGACCGGACACATTTTGTCTTAGTAAAACACATTTTATCAATTGAAATAACAATAATTGAATAAATCAGCCTTAGCTGATTTATTCAATTGTTGTTGATGATGATTTGATGACTAAATTTTAGCCTAGTATGGTAAGTACATGAAAAATTTAAAGAAATTGTCAAATTTAAAAAGCCTAACAAAAGCCGAACACCGTCTAATTTGGCCGGACACGCAACCAAAAAGCTTGATTGTGTCCTGCTTTATCTGAACTTCAGGCAACGCTACCTGCATGTCTGTGAAATATAAATACATATTTGGAAAACATGATGTGTCCATTGTGTAGGGCGGTGTAAGAATGAACTCTACCTTATATTGTTGCGTGGGTGTCGCAAGAGGCGACAGAGAGAAATTTAAAAAGGTGATGGACAGCAGTATCTTCCTGATAACAACTCAAAAAAAAAATAACCATGACATAGAATGTCTAATCTATTTCCCTACCTTACAAAAACCTACACCGTCACATTTATTTATTTATTTATAGGACACCAGCAGTGCACACATTATTGCATTCTTATTGAAAATAGGCTTAATCTAGGGGCTGATGTGTGCACCCTTATAGGTTTCGTAAAATATGACATTAATTGTGCTTCTATTTCCTGTTAAATCATTTTGTTATCAGTTATTACTGAAGACAAGTGGCACTGCTGCGAGTTATTGTACTGACTAGGTTTTCTTTATAAGATTATGAAATGCAAAAGGGGAGGTATCCTTTTAAGCTTGCAGTCTTTCAAGCTGTGAGCTCTGGGAGCGATGAAGCTTTAAAAGCCAAAAAGCTAACAGCACAAACATCACAGAAACTAGATATATTTATTAATGATATCATTTCATTACCTTCAATAATTTTAACAATATTTTTATTTAACATTATGTTTTTTTCATTTTTCTGCACCTTTCACACATATCCCAGGTTGACTATTGAAAGGAATACAAGGTGTTTTACAATAATAGTTTTAGTTGATAATTTTACATGAGATAGTTCAACTCAACATTTTAATTTCTAATGTGATGTAATAAAATGAAGTAGGTATGCACCATTAGCATGAGATTACTTTGATGTTGGAGGGGGAGATACACTAGAAGAGTAAGGCCAGACTAGCCAAATCATTATTAACTTCATTTTCAAAACTTTAAGCAATACCAAATTTTGCCAACAAACCTATATTAACAGGTTTGAAAAAGATCAATTTAACTGATGCATAGATGTTTTTCAATTTGACATAGCCAATTGGTGTCAGGATTTGTTAAAATCATAATTGCTGAAAGAGCTATTTTTAAGAATTTGATTTACTTCAATAAAAGAGTGTGGTTTGCAAGATGATGCAGTGACCACGATTAAGAAAAGAATGCTTCGGTGGTTTGGTCATGTAGAAAGAATGAATGAGGAAAGACTGACAAAGCAAATATATGTTGCAGAAGTGAATGGAAGAGTCAGAAAGGGAGGTCCTAGGCGAAAGTTTGTCGACCAAATTGGCGATATACTAAAAATGGGCCAAATTAAGAGTACCCTTAACCGACGAGCATGTATGCATAGGTATATGGATGTGGAAGAGGCGAGAATATAATACTAAATGTTTCAGTATTATATTATTATCCCATCAAGTAATCTTGGCACATTGTTTGATAGGGAAAGCTTGCGCATCGCCGTAGGAATCCATCTAGGAGCGAAAATGTGTCAACCTCACCAGTGCTCCTGTGATGGCAGCATCAATGAGTTTGGGCTCCATTGTCTTTTATGTAAGTAAAGACCAAGTGGATTTTCCATCACGGTTCTTTGAACAAAGTCATCCGAAGGGCTCTTGTCTTCATAAATATTACCTCGGTTTTAGAGCCTTGCAGGATATTTAGAGACGATGGCAAGCGACCCGACGATATTACTTTAGTCCCTTGGGAGAGAGGTAAAGCCCTAGTGTGGGATGTTACTTGCGTTGACACTTTGGCGGCCTCTCGTCTCAAGGGTATCTCTTTTAGAGCCGGGACAGCATCTGGCAGCTGAATTAAGTAATTTGCGCAAATATGAGTCTTTGAGAAATGACTACATATTTGTGCCATTTACTATAGAGACTATCGGTCCGTGGGGTCCATGTGCAGTGAAGTTCTTAAAGGATACGGGGAGCAGGAATTTACGACAGTTAAAATTTTTAGTTTTAGTTTTTCAATGTTTTTTTAATTTTGTGTGTAATGCATATTAATTGTAAATACTGTTCTTAATAATACATTTTTAGTCCAATCAACACACAATGACCTTATTAAATATTGATATTTATTATAGTTGAAATAATGATATATTTTAAAGATAATTATCGGTAAGTATGGCAAATAAATACTATTTTTTAAATCTTAAATTCAACACCACTTCAAAGTTATGTCATCCGTTTGATCATGACCTGTCAGGTTTGCATTCTTTCATTGGCCACTCTTGAAGTATGCTAGTTATTTTAGATATTAGGGCCTTATTGTACTTCACGTCAACTGCCTCAACTGTAATACTGAGAACAGTGGATTCAACAGGACTCAGTTCATCTCAATTTAAAAGCACTTTGGTATTTATCTGTTTAACATTTGGTGTTGTGAATATAATACATTTCAGTTTATTACCATTTAAAGGCAAATTGTTGACTTTAAACCAGTTTACTAATTTTGACATAGCATTATTCACTTCGTAATAGTTATACGAAAATCAACAAAATATCATCAACAAAATAAAACAATATCATGTTTTATTAGTTTTTACCAATCAAGTACTTATAGTAATTCATTAATATAAACAAAGAAAAAATGCTAGAAACTACTCCCAATGATAACAACTGTTTGCGTGCATACGCATATTAATGTAATTCTTTTATTACATCATAGAGGTTTGATCCTCTTGAGAGCTGATTTTCTATATGCGTGACGGTACAGTTAAGAACACTGGGTGGAAGTATGTATTAATTAAAAAAAAACTACTTTAGAAGACATGTGATTTTCACCAACACTCATAAGATTTGCATGGTGAACACAGCAAGTCCTAGTCATAAAATCCTCTCAAACATGAGACGAGGCCTGTACCCAGCAGTGTGATGTATATGTAGCCTGTAATTTTGCCACTTCTAGTATTTTAACTTAATTTAAGATACAGTATTTTCATCATTTTACTTCATTCTATCAGATGAAATACTGTAAAACAATATGTAAAGAATGTGTGAACTTACAGTGTTATATATGTTGAGTTCATTTTGAGCATGAGATGGTTTGGGCTGATTTATTTTGTCCTTGAAAATATACAGGATTATAAAGAATAAAACAGGAGAGAGAAGTTCCACTGTTGTATTGATAAATCTATGCACTCTCACCAACAGGTGCTTCAACATTAACACTTTCAGAGTTCCATTCATTTTCACTAATTACACTAGACAATTACTTTTTAACACACCACTAACAATGTATAGAATACATATTATTTTAATGTGCCAAGTCTTATGCATACATTCAGTGAACACAACTTTAACACTGTTTGAAAATAATAATTTTTTTAAACTTAAATATAAGTAATGGCAAATATTACAAAATCCATTTTTTAACAAAGTAACTTGAACAAAATCACCTGTACTGAGCCAATATAACTTTCAATATGAACAAAGCCCAGAATTTTTTTTATTATAATATTTCATGTTATTTTGTGGAGATTAACGTTATCCATTTGTAAGCTAAAAAATTCTACTGTAAAAATTTTACACAATTTATTTTTTGAAGCACGAAACTTTATTTACGTACGATGGAATATGGATTGGAACAGACTCATAAAAACAGATGATTTTAATTTCAAGAACTGCAATAAAAACATAAATAGAGAGAGAGAGTATATTATTCATCGAGGTAACAATTAAGCTTTATATAAGCACAATCACTGATTGTATGTATTTTATTGCACCAGTTTGAACGTTTGAACAACCGAAAACAAATTTCCTAATCCCTTTCCTATGCCTATGCTTATTTTATTATAGTTCGGCCGAGAATGCGTTCCTGACCAAAGAACATACTACTCTCTAACGAGAGGTAATGAATAAAAAATGGCCATAGATAAATAAATATGTAGCAAGCTATAAAATGGCCACTTGTTTGTTTCCTTGCTAAAACCGTCAGTGTGACCAGTATGCAAGCTACCGGTTATTTATTTTTTTCTATGGTATACATTAGCAATGCACACATGCATAAGTGAGCATGTGTGTAAAGTCGAAAACTCGTCGTAGAAGTTGAGGGATCGTGTTCCTGACACTAAAGATGGGCGAAACTAGCTTGCTACATATTTATTTATCTATGGGCAAAACTGTTATATTTTTCTAATTTGTTATGTTGTTGTAATATATTTTTCTAACTGTTGTTTTAAACTGTTATAATATATTATAACAGTTTCAAATATTACATTGTACACGCGGTTAGTTCAGTTCAGTCGTCGGCTGTGTTCGCGTTTTGTTGTATGTTGTTATAACGATTATAAATATTACGATGAAAGATTATAACGATTATAAATATTAAAGGATTATAAGTATTATATGAAGACAAAAAATATTTTTAAGTTGTATCAGCATCAATTGAGTGTTTCGTGTTTTAAAGAGAATCATTTAAAATATTTATGTTAAGTTCAATGAACTTCCCTTCCTACTTTTTATAGGCTTAGGGATGTCTGAATGTATGCTAAGCTGTGTAATTATTGTATCTGTTATAATTATTTACTCATATTTTCAAAAAAATTACTTTTTAAATAAATAATTAATTTTTAAAAGAAATAAATAACTCATTCAGGCGTAGTTAGCTCATTGATGTTATGTCATTTTGATTGAATTTTTACATTATTTACACTGTGGTCAAAGTTTTAGTTATCTACAATTATTTACATTTTTTTTCAGTTACTATTCAAAAATATTATTTGGTTTACTTTTGACGACGTACGCAAAACCTTTTGCGTCTATCCGATATTAAATCCGAACGACAAAACTCTTCATACACTCCTACGTGTCTTTGCTTAAGGTGAAGCTTTAAATTTGTAATTGTACTTTAAAAAAAATTGTTTTGCAATAATTGCACACTTGTTTTTTTTTCGTCCACACTTTGGACTATAAAATAGTTCCAAATGGCTGCGCTACGCTGGCGTGACATTATTATACACTTTTACATACACGCTAAATCCTATCTATATTACAATAAATATTTAAAATTACTTTAGGAATAAAACTTAACGAAAAATAAACAAAAACAACAATAGCTTTTTCACGTAATATGGGGACCTGCTATCAAAACATTACGTATATAATTTAACAGATAACAGTGTCATTGTCATCTCAGCTAGACAGCTAACGGAACACTAAACTGATATATTATATATTACAACAGCCAAATTAAATAACAGACACAACAGGCAACTAATGAAGGAAATAATATATTTTTGTTTACCGTTATAATTTAGTGTTAGTAAAATAAGCTCTTATTAAGTTAGCTTAGAGTTTAAATTAGTGTAAGCTATACGCAATCCTTGTGGCCCAATGAATGTAGGTAGTATTTTATTGACTCCTATTGTCTCGGCCGACGGTTGGACCGTAAACGTAAACAGATGACGCTTTCTAACGATAATGAATATAATATTATAACAGTCAATGGGTCATTATTCTAATGTGTTGTAAGATTAGAAATATATAATGAAATATATTATCTGTTGTATGTTATAACGCCCAACTTTACCTGACACCTATCAGTTAGTCAAAACCATAGAGTAGAGTATTTATTCTCTAGTATATATACAGTAATCTATGGTATTTATTACAGACTACTAAGAGGATACTACGCATGTATTTATTTATCTATGGAGTAGAGTAATATATACAGTACCCCGAGCACGAATAATAAACAATTGCGTCAAGAATTCGTATCGAGTCAACTAAGCGAAAACTTTTACCAAACTGTGGCTGTGGCAGCACGAACGCTTATCTCTTAAGCCTCATTTACATTCAGCCCCATTTTTTTTTTGCGGATGGAAAATCATCTAATGACCTCTTTCGCTCTGGGTGGAGCGTAAGGGAGTGTCAGACTTTTACTGACTAAAAACCATCCGTGTTCCTTCAGTGCCCTTACGTTCCAGAGCCGCGGTATCTCTTTCAAACAGCCCGCAGCCCCGGCAGGCGTCGGCCCTTGCGGGCCCCTTCACGCTGCTGACAGCTCTTTGAGGCGCGCGTGGAACAAAACGCGCCGTCGACACGGCCTGTCGTCGTTAGACGGACGGACGGCGAGCTACCCATTGCTCGCCGTCCACAGGCCCGCGCCTATGGTGGCCGGGGGCCACGACGTAGCCCCCGACGCCCGGGGCGTCTCCCGCGGCGGCCGGGGAGGAAAGCTGCTGCTCTCTCCTTCTCCCGCTCCGCCACCTCCTTCGCTAGCATCACTGCTTCGCAGAAGGTGGTGACGGCATCCCATTCCGTCTCGCTCCGGACCATGGCTTCGACCAGGGCCGGACGCGAGAGGTCGCCGCCGCCTATCGCCGCTACGAGGACACGGCGGTGCTCCGCCCAAGCAGGGCACACCTCCACGGTGTGTTCCACCGTGTCCTCCGGTCCATCCTCGCAGTGGGAGCACCCGGGCGTTTCCTCCCGCCCGATTCGGTGCAGGAACCTCCCGAACACACCGTGTCCGGTGAGGACGTGCGTCAGGCGGAAGGTGAGGATGCCGTGGCGTCTCTCAAGCCACTCCTCAAAGAGGGGTCTTATCGCCGCTATAGTGGCGTGGCCAGCACGGGGTTGCGACAGTCGCTCTCTCCATGTCGCCATGAGATCGTGTCGGAAGTCTATCCGCTGCGCGACAACTTGCCGCGGCAGCGGGGTTTCCCCCCGGCATATTGCCTCCGCGCGCCATTCGTGCAGGCGTGCGAGGACTACCGCCTCCCATGGCGGCAATCCGGCAAGGAGGCTCGCCGCCTCGCGGGAGATCGTGCGGTAGCCGCGAACCATTTTCACGGCGACCACCCCTTGGGGCGCGTTCAGGTGGTGGACGGCAAGCCGCGCCAAACCACACGCCCACACCGGGGCCCCGTAAAGGGCCATGGATCGCACGATCCCCGCGTAGAGCCTCCGGCAGGAGGCGTTTGGCCCCCCCCCAGGTTCGGCAGGAGCCGCCTGAAGGCAGCCCCGGTCCGTTCCAGTATGGGAGCCAAACATCGGAAGTGCTCAACGGAGTTCCATTGGCCGTCAAGGACGAGTCCTAGGTACTTCAGCGTCGACTCGACGCCGATGGATACCCCTCCTACCATCACTGAGGATCCCGGTGGTGGCCTGTTCCGAGGACCATGGAAGTGCATGGCCTCGGACTTGTGCAGAGCCACCTCGAGACCCAGTTGCCGAATCCTCTCAACGACTATCGCAACCCCGCGTGTCATAGTTTCCGCCGCCGCCTCGTACGACCCCCCTTGTGCCAGTACCAGCGTGTCGTCAGCGTAGCAAACTATGCTGACGCCGGTAGGGAGGTCGGCGCGCAGCACCCAGTCGTAACCGATGTTCCACAGAGGTGGCCCCAGAACCGAACCCTGTGGGACACCGCACGACATCTCTCGCCAGTTCCACTCACCGTTGCGACCGGGTTAGATGACGGCCCTGTCCGTCAGATAGTCCCCGACTATACGACGGAGATAGGTCGGCACCCGGTGATACCGGAGTGCCTCCCTAATGCAGCTCCAGGGCATGGAGTTGAAGGCGTTGGCGATGTCGAGAGACACCGCCAAGATAACCCCCTTCTGGCCACTGGATCCCCCGTCGTGAGGGCTCTCACGCGCATGATGGCGTCCACCGTAGAGCGCCTCTTGCGGAAACCAAACTGGTGCTCCGCAAGATCCGGCCCCGTCCCCGCAAGGTGCTCGGCGAGGCGGTTTGCAATGACTCTTTCAAAGAGCTTGCCCACCTCGTCGAGCAGCACCACGGGCCGGTGTGCGGACGGAGAGTCCGCAGGGCGCCCCGGCTTCCGAATGAGGACCAGCTTCCCCGTCTTAAAACGAAGCGGGAATTGGCCTCTCTCCAAGCATGCGCTTAGGAGCCGCTCCAGTCGGGGCCCGAGAGCCTCCGAGGCCAGGACCCTGGCTTTGCCAGGCAAGCCATCGGGTCCTGGGGCGGTATTCCTGGCCTTGAGCCTACGTACCGCCACTCTCAGGTCTACCCCGGTCCCTTCCGGGATGTCGTCGTCGTCGTCCTGGTGGTCCGCTTCCGGCACCGCAGGTGGCGGAGCCATAGGCGGGGGCGGATGTTCCCCTCGCGTAGGGAACAGAGCGCTCACCACGTCCTCCACGAGCTGGGGCCGGAGACTTTGCGTCAGCGGGGTACATTCAGCCCCTGCCACTGCTCCTCGCGCTGCCGGCAATACT